ATTCCACTAAACGATAAATAACTGAAATAAAATTTATTGTAAACAAAGTTTTTTTTTAAAATCTTTAAATTTTAAAATTAAACAATATTTTGGAAGAATACGAACGAATGAATGATATCTTTGTTGATTTATCCTTTGTTTGACCATTACCATTGCTAACATTGACCACACATTTGTATGTACCGCTATCTTCAACTGTCGGCTTGATGAAAAGTAATCGTGCTGATAACGGTTTCATACGACTTACTGCTATCCTTTAACAAAAAAAAAAAAAAAAAGTAAAAAAGGAATGAAATTTAATTTGTTACAAAATCATTGAAACCAAATTTATTTGTGTAAAAAAGCGCCTGTATATATGCTAATTTCCGTTCACTTTCACATATCATATCACATCGTATCGGCAAGAAATTAAAAAATAAAGTAGTAAAAAAAAAAAAAAAAGGCGCAAAAAAATGGAGAAAAAAAGTCAATCTGTTTAATAAAGCTTATATTCTAAATAAATTATTTGGAAATAAATTCAAATCAATTTTAATTTACAACCATTACATTACAAATTACACTTTCAACTTAGATTTATCATTTAAAATTTTATTCTAAATTATATTATAATTAATTTAACGAAAACAAAAAAAAAAGAATTTTTCATTTCATTTATAGTATTCAATTATTATTTTTCATTATTAATAGCAAAATTCTATTCCATATTTGATATTTGTAAGAAAAGAAAAAAAAAAAGAAATTATACGAGAAAAAAAGAAGGTTAGTTTTTTTCCTTTTTTTTTCTTTCCTTTCCCCTCCTCGTAAATTCGTATCATTCAATTTGTTGATATTGTATTTGGTTACAACAGCTTCATTTGCATATATTGCATACCCGAATCTTAACCCAAACACAAACACAGATAGATAGACGGACAGACAGACACGCACACACACACACACACACACACACCCATACATATAAATATAAATACATTAATGTGAGAGAGGAAAAAAAAAAGTGATGCATTTTACGATGAATTGGAAAACTATTCCCGTGAATTTACTGTATTAAACAACGAAATTGTTAATATCCAGAAATAGATGGATGAAAGTAAAAAAAAATTTTTTTTTTTTTTTAAAGTATTCATTTTTATTTGTAATATCATTTGTATCGTTATGTTTATCAATCTAACAGTAAAAATAAAATGGGGGAGGGGGGGGGGGGAAAAAAAAGAAAAAAGGAAAAAAAAGAAAAAAAGAAAAAAAAAGGAAAATGATTGACATTTATCATCAAAAATAATCAAATATTTGATATTTTGATACAATTTTTTGTGTTAGAAATTTTTACAAAAAAAATTGTAATAAATTTTATGAAATTTAATGCAATCAGAGAAAAGAAGAAGAGAGATATGGAGAGAGAGAGAGAGGGAGGAGGAGAAGAGAGGAAGAGAGGGAGAGAAAGAATGAAAAAGAAATAAACGATCAAAAAATATTAACTAATAATAAATATTATTTGATACAATTCGTTGATTTAATAATACTTGAAATATTATCATTTCATAAACATTTCAGTTTCTTTCCTTTTTTTTTCCGTTCTTAAAAATTGATGATAATGAACAAGCAAGAAGAGTTAACTGATAACATACTGATAATGGATGAATTCAAAGGAGTTAACATATAATAGATGAATAAAAGAATGGAATAGGTAAGATTACTTTAAAAAAAAAAAAACTTTTTGCTGCAACAATAATTGTTCCTTTTGTTATTGTTATACTATTTCGAATTAATTTGATAATGGATGAATGAATGAATAAATTTATCAAAAGAGATGAAATTCATAAGACAATTATGCTTAGCTCAATAAGATAATATTTAAATTGTCAATTTTATCCTTCAATAATATTTGTTGCAGCTGCAAATGGCGTGCAATTAATATCAATTTTTACAATTCAAATGGCAATATTTCATCAATTTTGTTTACATATGGAAATGATATCCAATTGTATTATTATTATTATAAATAAATGAGAAATTTTACAATGTATTGATTGGTAAATTTGATTAAAATTAATCAATTCATTGGTTAATTAATTCATGCATAAGGATTAGCAGAATTTTGAAAGAGTATAATTTGAAAGTAAAAAATTTGCTTTAAAGTAAGAAAAAGCAAAAAGGAAGGAGAAAAAGGAAAGAAAATGAAAATGAAAAAGATTAATGAATATAAAAACTATGAGAGAAAAGAAATTAAAAGAATGAATTGTTCATTTTATGATAATGAATTCTTATGCATTTCAAAAGTGCCATTTAAAAATAATCCATCCATTAATTATATATTCTAACTTATCATCCAGTTGGTTTGATTTCGATTATCAATAGTTTTTATCATTAAAATTAAATTTCAAAACAATATTTTTTCATTGATTTCTGCTTATTTATTCATTCATTTATCCATTCAAATTCATTCTCGAAAATATATTGATTCTTTCCGAAAATCCCGTAATAATAACACTTACGATTAATAATTATCCAAAGTAAAATGCATCGATTTTACAATTTTAGTAAATAGCAAATGGATAATAGAGAACTTTATCCGCATTCAATTACTTTCAAATTTTAAATCAATTCAAATTTCACATCACTTTAACTAACTTTTATCTTCCCATAATTTCGCAAATAATTCATTCAAAAGTCATCCCAAAAATTCACAAGAATTATTTTGTAATTTCATACAAAAATAAATTAAAGAAAATTTGAATTGGAACAAGAAAAATGTTCAGTAAACAAAATTGCTATAACTTATTATCAGTTAATCACTTCCATCTTTTCTTTTATCCTTTCTCTTTCTCTTTCTCTCTCTCTCTCTCTCTCTTTCTTATGGCAAAAAACAAACAAACAAACAAACAAACAAACAAACAAACAAACAAACAAACCTTTCTTGCCGATCAATAGGTACTTCATATTCCTCACGATACCATTTAATATCAACCTTAGCATTGTGATCTTTTTGTAAACCAATTACTGAACAAATAATTGCTACATTCTCATCACTTTTTCGATTTTGCAATTGTTGTGCTGTTGGTAAAATATGCACCTCCCAAACCTAAAAAAAAAAAAGGAAAAATTGAAAAATTAAAATTGTCAATTTTTATTTTTTATAATGAAATATAAAAAAGGAAAAAAAAACATGCCACAAATTATTTAAAAACGAGGGTTATGATTATTATTATTATTATAATAGTCATCATTTGCTATCAATAGCATTAACTGTTAAAAGTTTATTTTAATAAGGTTAATTTAAATGATCACAATTTGTCGTTTAAATTTCATTAAAATGCGGCTCAGTAATTGTCGTTCAAAAAATTTTGTTAAAAATACAAATTAATAACTGTTGTTTAAATTTTATCAAAAAGCAAAATTTAATTGCATGGAAAAAAAGAAAAAGAAAAAAAACATCTAAATCACATCATAAAGTTTGTATTTATTTTAAAATAGCCTAAATTATGAGAAAATTATTTTAAATATTTAAAATGATAGAAGAAGAAATAACAGTAATTATAATTCATTTAAATGAATAGTAAATTAATAAAGAGGAAGAAATAATAGAAAGGATAAACTATTTCTTTCGTATTATCAATGTAAGTTAAAATTTTGATGATTTCAAATTCCAAATTCTTTTCTAATTACAAAAATTTGAAATCGTTTTGGAAGGAAATTAGCAAAATATAAGGGTTTTTTTTCTTTTCTGCTCACTATTAAGTAACAATAACAAAAATAAACATTTTTTTCCTTTTAAAAAATTTCAAAACTCAAAATTTGTATTTATGAAAAGGATTTTTTATAAAATAAAAAAAAAAAATTACGATAATATTATCGATTTTTCGAACTATGCCTTTTTTTTCACCCAAAATTATTTTTTGTAACATATCAAAATCATTGATAAATTCTATCGATATTTTAAAAATTAAAAATAATTAATATAATCAAAAAATACAACAGTAACATTGCTGTTATAAAAATTTCAACCTGTCAATTATCACAAATAATTTTGGAATCTATACCAAATAATAAATGCAATAATTAATTCTGATTAATATTCCACTATGTAATCAAATCGGAAGAGAAGAGATAAATTAATACATTAATACTGATAAGGGCTGCTAAATGAAAAAGTTTCCAATGTAAATTT